AAACATCGTAACTTCCCCTAAACAGAGGAAAGAGACAGAAAAGGAAAAGGCCACAGAGGAAAACTCAAATATACACCATGACTCACTGAGTACTGGTCATGTACAATGTGGAAGAAGAAGGAGGAGTGGAGATAAAGGAAGAAATCAGCATTTCAGGGCTGGCCGCAACTTGAGGAGTAGAGAGATCTCGCTAATCTTGGAGCCATAATTGATTTGTCTGATCTACCAGAACAACAGTAAGCCATGCACCGGCCCCACTTTATTGCCTGTTTTACACTCTGTATCTGCAAGAGATCGTATTTATTACAGAGCAGGCTACAGCGAAAACAATAATAAACCTAAGATAAAGAACTGAGAAACCTAAGATAAAGAACACCGACATGCACATTCCAACTTTTTGTATGCTGGTGAGGGAGGGTGTTAAGTCGAGATCAGGGAAAAAACAAAACCAACTAATAATGAAACTGGGATGGACGAAGTGAAGCAGTCACCACAGAACCATCCTCTAAATCAAATCAAGGCGGTCAAATTCTTAGTTGGTTCCACACATACAGGAACATCCTGGCTTGAAAGGAAACCAGACTGTTATAGAAATGATAGCAGTGGCTCGTTCTTGTAATAGCCCACTTCCTATACCTTGAAACATCGGAAATAAAGGCAGACTAATAACTTCTTCGGGACCTACGTTACCAATTTGGTGGTAAGTACTTTTTTCCCAGAAAGTAGGTGCAAAAGATACAGACAGGCCAAGTTTTTAACAAAGCCTTAGACAAACAGGGGGTTCATTCAGTTGGCATTGCATGCAGATGCTCTGTCCACCTTATGGAAAAACACAACACTCAGATAACATCTAAAAAACCATCTGTAAAAACAAACAAGCAAAAAGCCCTGCTCGTTTGGCTACCACAAGGCTGGCATTGCACCTGCCGAGGTAGAGCACTGACCTCTCACCCCTGTGCTTGGATTACTGACATCCCCTCATACGAAGTCAGCCAAGCAGGTCTTGCACTTGCTAAGTCTCCACACCAAAGCATTTTAGTGCAGTCTGACCCTTACCCCTGAGAAACCATTTTTTAAAATTCAAGAGAACAGATATGGAGAACGGGTAGAAACTCAGTTTAGTTAGAGGGAGTTAACAAACGGGAACAAAATTACATATTATTTGCCTGGAAATCATGATATAACCTCTTTTCTTTTTTTTTTATTTATCGATATTTTTTATTTTGATATTGTGGGGACCTCTTTTCTTTTCTTTTTTTTATGAGTTGGTGTCTTCACTCTGTTGCCCAGGCTGGAGTACAGTGGCAGAATCAAAGCTCACTGCAGCCTCGACTTCCTGAGATCAGGAGATCTTTCTGTCTCAGCCTTCCAAATAGCTGGGACTAGGCATATACTATACTCACACCTGATTTTTTTGGGGTTTTTTTGAGTTGGAATCTTACTCTGTTGCCCAGGCTGGAGTGCAGTGGCATGCTCACGGCCACCGCAGCCTCAACCTGCTGGGCTCAGGCGATCCTTCCAAGTAGCTGGAACTATAGGTGCGTGCCACCACACCCATCTAATTTTTTTCATTTTATTGTAGAGATGAGGTCTCGCCAAGTTGCCCAGGCTGGCCTTAAACTCGTGGGCTCAGGAAATACTCTCGCTTCGGCCTCCCAAAGTGCGGGATTACAGGTGTGAGTCACCATGCCCAGCTGACTAATTTTTTATTTTATTTTTTTGTAAAGATGAGATCTTGCTTGTACTGCCCAGGCTGGTCTTGGACTCCTGGCCTTAAGTAATCCTCACTCTTTGTCCTCCCAAAGTACTGGAATTACAGGCGTGAGGCACCACACCCAGCACATATTTCTTGAGTGCAATTAGGAAACAAAATGTGTGCTTATACATGTCTTTTTTTTACTCTTCCATGGATGTGTACTGGGGTGAAGAGGAAGATGGTGAAAGGTATTATGCACAAATACCAGTTCATAGTAAATTATTTTGGCAGCATATTGGCTACACTGACAGTTCGACAAAGCTCTCCATTTATCATGACCTTAAACTAAGAGGGGAATCAATCTGGGCAGCGGGGAACACAGTTAAAGATTAAAACACAATTAAGCAACCTTTATAAAACCATTACATATATGAATATTGCAGTGCCTTTTCCCCAGGTGTTTACTCCTCATTAGGCTGTAAGCTGTTTGCCTGTCTGATCCCACGTGCCTACCTGTCCCAGACAGCAAAATCACCAGCACACTTCAGAAAGCAGAAAACTTATACATCTCACTTAAATGAGACAAGGGCACTCAACACATACACAGACTTAACACTGTGATGGAAAGAAGGGAAAGTTAGAAAGGTAAAAAAGAAAAACTCCTCTATTACAGAGGCCACAAAAAATTGCAATCTTAGCTGAATAATTTGTAATTCAGGCAGACAAGGTCATATCTGACATCTATTTAAATTGAATAGCTGTTTCACTATCAGTCTCCTACCTGCTCAAGCTTTCCTCTTTTATTTATTGGGCAACTGAGGGAAATTTAACTGGAATTTATTTTTGAATAACTTAAGACAAACCAATCCTCCAATATACAGATAGAAGAGAGAATAAAGAAAGGTATGAAACTGAACTACAGTTTAAGGGGGAGTAGGTGGCGTAGGAATAAAAACACAAATGAAGATAAGTTTCACAGAACCCATTGCAAGTAATAATAAAAACAAAGGAATAACAGGCCAGACATGGTGGCTCACGCCTGTCATCTGAGCCCTTTGGGAGGCCCAGGTGGATAGAATGCTTGAGCCAGGAGTTTGAGGTCAGCATGAGCAAAGTGAACCCTCGCCTCTATAAAAAATTAAAAAATCAGTTGGGCATGGTGATGTGCTTGTAGGCCCAGCTACTTGGGGTGCTGAGGTAGAAGGATGGCCTGAATCCAGGAGGTTGAGGCTGCGGTGAGCCATAATTGTCATGATCATGCCACTGCACTCCAGCCTGGGTGACAGAGTGAGAACAGACAAATGAAAAACCAAAGGAATAAGAAAGCACCAGAAATCATCAATGTAGGAGGCAGTATAAGATTCAAAGACAGTCATAAAGATCTTTAGGACAGAACACTGGGAGGTGTTGACAACTCCCAAGGCAGGTGCGCCTCAGCCTCAAAAGCCTACTTAAATCCAAGCAAGAACATGAACTCAGGCGGGCCAGAAGCAAGTGCCTATCCCAACGGTTGAATTCAGCTTCCAGAAGACCCTGGAGTGTGGGCCTTATGCAAAGGCATATCTGGTGGTATGTGTAGAGGAGCCCACACTGTGTTTTCCAAAACAGGTATTTATGACTTTTTTCCTCTTACAGCTGAACAGCCAAAAAAATTGCCCTTTGATTATTATGACATCTTTACCAAAATATTAAGGAAAATATTGTTGAGAATGCCACAGCACATACATTAAAAAAATTAATAGTATACATCCAAAGAATATTTCCGCTGGGTAAGTCACAGAGAAAATAGGCCAAATAGCATCACACTGGGTGAGTCACGCCTATTAAAAATGAGCCTTAGCAGATACATCACAGGCACCTGTGGCTCAAAGGCCATTAGCTACAGGTTTCGGAACTTTTCTTCTTAGATTCTAAGCCACAAGGATGCATGTCCCTGTACCTCACCCACTTAACAGAGGCCCCAACCTCTAGAATGAAGTCCAATTAACGTGCTGTAGGTAGCACTGCTTCGCCCGTTATCTGCAGTGACTGGCTATAGAGAAGGAAAAGCTCACCAGAATCTCCTGGCTTAAAATGAGCAGGATGCCAGCATACCTAGGCAACAGTGAGCTGGCAGACATATCTGTAATAAGCAACCTCCAAGAACACCAGAAAAAGCCTTGGCCAGGCCTGGACACACAACACAGCAGGAAGATAACACAGTCAATTCATCAAGGCTGCGGGGTAGGCTGAGTTCTCGATGCTTTTGTTTATACTATATATCCTTCTCAGTGCCCACGGCAAATTCCCTGAGTGTCCATGCTCAGATTTACTAGCCCTTTCTCCTTCATCTCCCCTGGGCTATGTGGCCTTCCATATGCATGGCACCAACCTGATTTCTTCCTTAAATATTACTGACTATGGGAGTTGAAATGGATGGTGTGTGCCTCAAGAACAGAGGGTGCCTTCCTTGGCTACTCGATCAAAATCAGTATTTGCACTACTCACTATTCTCTAAGTCCATTTTATTTTTCTCTGCAGCAGTTGTTGCCACCTGACATTGTAATTGTCTCCCTTTCCCACTTGGAAGTAGGAACTTATTAATTTTCTTCATTGCTATATTCTCAGTGCCTAAAGCAATTAATTCCTGGCATATAGCAGACACTCATAAATACTTGTTCAACAAATGAATAAACCCACTCAACTAACCAAGGGATCTATTCAGTGAAAAGAGATCCTAAATGTTCAAGGGTGAAGTCCTTATTGCTAAGTACTCTTTTGGACACAGTCATTTGGGAGCTCTGAAGCATTTGTATCATCGATTCTTCTATATTATCCATATCTATCATCTCAAAGGATGTTTACACATTTCTCCATTCTCTCCCACTTATGGGCAAGTAGAGAAAAAAAGAAGTCATGAGGAAATTATGATTAATTCTTATACTTGTCCTAAAACCTATAGTTGATCTTCTACCCTTAAGACTTCCCACTCATAGTGAGAATTAGACCGGGATTTTTAAAAAGAGATGATTTTATTTTAATACAACTGGGAAGAAGTACCTTCGAAACTCAAAACACAGTAATTATAAATGAAAAAGCAACATAGAGACAGTTCAGGTATAGAACTGAACGTTTGGAGTTCTGCTTTTCCAGACTACAAAATAGGCTCCGAATAGATGCCTAAGTAGATACCTTGCAAAAATGACCACTTAGCACCCAAAAAGAAGCAAGCTAGAGAAAACATCTAAGCTGAAGTCCTTCGCAGACATGCAGACACACTCTGGAGCCTCCAAGCCACCCAGATGGATTCAGGGACAGGACTCACCCCAGATATGTCTGCGACGCGGTGGATAGGCACTTCCTTCTTGCTATGCAGTCCTTTGCCATTCTTAATAGCTCTGTTGAGGAAGAAGAGAAAAACAATTAAAATAAAAGTCACAAGGGGAAGGGATATAGAAAAGTGGGAAAATGGGAAGAGAACTGTGGGTTGTTAAAGTGGACGTGACACAAGTCACACTGCACGCTGCTGGGTTGCCAGTCTCTGCAGGAGGATTTGATGGAGGAGGATTTGAAGGCTGCTCTTCTTTATTTTATTTTATTTTATTTTATTTTTTGAGTTGGAGTCTCACTCTGTCGCCCAGACTGGAGTGCAGTGGCATGCTAACAGCCACCGCAACCTCAACCTGCTGGGCTCAATCTTTCTACTTTAGTCTTCCAAGTAGCTGGAACTATAGGCGTGTGCCACCGTGTCCAACTTTTTTGATTTATTGTAGAGACAAGATCTCGCCATGTTGCTCAGGCTGGTCTCAAACCTGCGGACTCAGGCAATCCTCTCACCTCAGCCTCCCAAAGTGCTGGGATTACAGGTATGAGCTACCATGCCCAGCCTTGAAATCTGCTCTTTTAAGCCCAGTTACCAGTACTTGACTGCCAGTTTCTGCTAACAGCGTGCCTGGTAATCAGAGGTCGCCCTTACTTGTTTCCAAATTAAAGGCATTGTTCCAAGCACAAAAGAAGAATCAGCTGGAAGAGCACACTCTTAAGAACAGAAGTAACAGTGTTTTAATCACATGAAATATTTTGAATGCAAAATACGTATCTAGTGTTCCAGTTCTAATGGAAATAAGTTCCTCCCAGGTAAAAAGATAAGTTGCCTTGAATGAAGCAATACTGTATAGAAAAGTCAATTAACAGTAGAAAAAAATTAGCAAGTGCTACACAACTGACACCAAGTCTTATTTTCAATCAGTCTCAGTTGTAATAACAGAAGATTTGACAGGGGACTCGGGGACTCTGGGACTCGGCCACACACTGGACCATGGGTTGGTTTGTCCCAAACTCCCAATCCTCTAAGTAGTAAGTAGCTTTAGGGACAGAAGCCTAAGCATCCCGGGGTATGCTTACTGGTGTAAAATGAAGGACCACAGAATAAAAGCTGATTGCTAAATCACTAGGTCCCTACACTATGAGACAAGACCTTCCTGGGTACTACCAGCCTGCAGGCTTCAGCAGGGAAGAGTCCCGAGTTTAGAGAAAGAAAATTAGAGTCAAGGGTGTATTACCACTATGGTGACTAGACTTTTTTTTTTCCCAACATAAATTAAGTCAATTACTATAGGTCAGTGAAATCTCAAATGGTGGAGCTTCTACTGGTCTTTCTTTCTTTTTTTTTTTTTGAGTTGTAGTCTCATTCTTTAGCCCAGGCAGTAGCATGCTCATGGCCACCGCAGCCTCAACCTGCTGAGCTCAGGGGATCCTTCCATCTCAGCCTTCCAAGTAACTGGAACCACAGGCATGTGCCACCATGTCCGGCTAATTTTTTTATTTACTGTAGAGATGAGGTCTCACCATGTTGCCCAGGCTGGTCTTGAATCCCTGAGCTCAAGTAAACCACTTGCCTCTACCTCCCAAAGTGCTGGATTACAGGCGTGAGCCACCGTGCCCACTTTCTACTGGTTTTTCAATTCCTTCAGTCTTCTGATGGCAGACTTTACTGTGACAGTAGAAGTGGTATGGAAGGTCCAGGCTCCACCAACTACTGTTTTCATGTAGGAGCCACAGTGCCAGATGCCCACAGATCATCTCTTCATCTTGGTTCTGCCACAGAAAGAACAAGTGTACTTGGCGTGCCGGCTGATCTCAATCTTCTTTATCATTTTTAGAGGGAGGCACCATAGTGGGCCCCATATGTACTGATGATTCTGACCTTCTTGGTGCGTTTTGCCATCTCGCCACCAAGTAAGTCGGAGCTCCAGGTCTAGACTTTTTAGAGTTTTGGAATTCCAGAGGACGTGTAGTGAAACTTGCCTAGGCAGGGATATGGGTCGCAGTGTGGGGGCCCTCACACTAGCAGCCACATTTCCACCTTTTCCCCACTCAGGCATTCACTCAAGCAGCAGGAGCAGAGGACACTGCTCTGCAAGGTTAGTTTCAGGGCATCACTTTTAAAAATAAAACTTGCACCAAACACATTGGAGAGGGGCTGCTCAGTGCAAAGCAGAAAAGTCCACTTGTAGTTCTTATGTACTTGGGCTTCCACCATTCACCTGAGTTCCCTTCCTCCATCCCAGGGGAACTGTCTCTCACTCAGCTGATCTCAAACAAGCAACGGTCTTCCTTACTATCTAGTTTCTACTCCATGATGAGGTCAAGTACAGAACTGACAAGAAAATAAAAATCACCTGCTCTCACGTACGCTGATCTGAAATGGTAACGGAAATAGAGCACATCAAAGTTCCTTGAATCTCATGGCTCCTCCTGAATTTGAATCAAGGGCTTCAGCTTCAGGAATTGTAAATGGGTTGGAATATTTCCCTTTACAATTTAGTCTAGTGATTTATCACTCAGGGATCCTGTTAATGGTCCCTGACCAAGGCTGCGCCTTATGGTTAGCCCCTTACCCTTGGGATTTACAAGCCAACAGCAGAAGACAAGAGGATGGTGGCCAGAAGTCAACTAATGATCCAATGCTGCCACCTTCCAAGCCCTGTTTCACCATGTGTGTCCCATTTCAATAATCTCCTCTGCAACCAACAGGCTCTCCCTATACTGCTACTGTAAAGTGGAATAAATGGCTTTAAGACTGAAGCTTCTGTGAGGCAAGTCCCTCCTACCATGACCGGACCTCATCCTCTTCAAGGGCAAGGCTTGCAATGCTTTCTGCAGCTCCAAATGCCTACAGCCTTATCCTCTAACAACAAGGACAACCAAAATAAACAGATCTGCGCTACCAACAGACAGGTTCAAGTTAGAGCACTGCTGAATTTGTGGCCTTTACTGGGGTTGGAGAACATCTCACACACCATGAGAAGAATAGAACGGGGCCTGAGCAGTAAGTTAGAAAGCAAAAATCAGCCGGGCTCGGTGGCTCAGCCTGTCATCCCACGGCTTTGGGAGGCTGAGGTGAGTGGATTGCCTGAGCCCGCGGGTTCGAGACCCGCCTGGGCAGTGAGACCTCATCTTTACAATAAATCAAAAAATAAGCTGGGCATGGTAGCGCATGCCTGTAATTCTGGCTACTTGGAAGGCTGAGGCGGAAGGATGGCCAGAGCCCAGCAGGTCAAGACTGCGGTGGCCGGGAGCGGCCACTGCACTCCAGTCTGGACGACAGAGGGAGACTCTAACTCAAAAAAAAAAAAAAAAGAAAGCAAAAATCCTCGAGGCAAAAGTAGTGAGGTGGTAAGCTATAACTCTGCTTTCCTCCTGTGACCCCAAAGTAGCTCTGTGCCATAAGCAGAAACCCAAGATTTAACCAAAACTAAACATGCTACCAAAGAGGGAAAAATAACACCAAAACTTAGAAAATGTGGATAATAGTGTAGGGAATTCTTTAAAATTATCTTAAAATTTTTCTTAAAAACCACATTTATGCTCTATCTTATTCCTAACAAGCATTTTATCAGATACTTATTTGTATTTAGGCATAAGCTTTGAACAAACTTTCAAAGACTAATTTTTCTACACTTAAAATATTATTGTTAGATTACACTGAGTAAGGTGGCTCACGCCTCTAATCCCAGCACTTTGGGAGGCTGAGGCAGAAAGAACACTTGCACCCAGGAGTTTGAGACCTGCCTAGGCAACACAGCAAGACCCCATCTCTAAATAATTAAATAAGCCATGTGTGGTGACACACCCTGTAGTCCTAGCTAAATGGGAGGCTGAGGTGGGAGGATCACATGAGCCCAGAAGTTTGAGGCTGCAGTGAGCTTTGATTGTGCCACTGTAGTCCAGACTAGGTGACAAAGCAAAACCCTATCTCTTAAAATATATATAATATAATATAATATAATAGTATAGTGCAATGTAATGTCATATAAATATACACACACATTAAATTAGATCCATTTCTGCCACATTCAAGAGTCAGCAAGAAAGCAGCATTGTAACATCATATATAATAAGCTAAGAGACAGTTCTTATTTTGTTAATTCTTAACAAAAGGGAAACAAATATGAAAGTTAACAATGAGTAGTTAACCACTACATTAAAATAATGCCCACCTAGGAAGTGCCATAACGCCTGAGTGGTGTACCACCCCCAGACTACAGAGTATAAGCAGCCTGTGAGAAGTGGGCAGAATGTCCTGTTTCAGCTTAGCTCTCTCCCTGGGTGCAGAAGCTGCTTTGGTTCTTGTTCCCAACCTGCTGCAGAAATGACCCCAAGTGAGCCGTCTCCGAAAACCTCCCTCGGCTTGACAGAAGGTTGATGTCACAGCAAGATATTCTCCTCAAGACTATCTGGGGGAACCGCCCACGGAGAAACGCAGGCATGTACCTCAAAGGAGAAAGAAACAGAAGCCAGAGGAGCAGCCTTGCCTCAGCCCTTTGCAAAGGGCAGTGGATGCATGTGTTCCCAGCTACGAGGACACGTGACATGGAGACCCAGGATCTGCTGGAAACAAGGAATGCTGCTCTGCATCTCACAGAACCCAGTTTCTCTGGGACAGTCTGTGGAGTCCCGTCTTGGTGGCATGGGAGGGCAGGCAGGTGGCAGCCTTGCCTCCACCGACGCCTGTGCCACACCACGCACATGAACTCCCTGCCCACACTGCCTTTCCCTGCAGGCTGCACCACAGCTCGGCATCCTTTTTCATTAGGCAAGGAATGAAACTCCTGACTCCTCAAGTCCTCCTGTGGTGGCTGTTTTAATAGCCGCTTCCTCACAAAGGCAGGCTGGTTTCAGGCTGGCCAGGAGAAGGGGAGCAGTGGGGAGAACACAGCAAGCTCCTTTCAGAGGTGTTCTTCTCAAAAGGCAGCATTCCACACATGACGAAGACTACCAGTGTCAATCATGATCAAAAGCCACCACCAACCAGGAAAAGTCACTATATATCCACGTATGTGCTATGGGGCCCAGGGCAGCAGAGGGATAAACTCAGCGTTCTAGGTGGCTTCCG